ATGAAGCTGTTGGAGTCGATGGAGCCGGCTTGTCCTTTAACTGTGCTAGGGTAACCTGCCAATCAAACTTAAGTAAATACAACCAAGAACACCAATAATGAAACATGAATATAATACCAAAACTATCTGTTCATTCAGTGCTTAATTAAAATTTGACTATAGAAATATAACATTGACTAAGTCCTTAAAATTCAATCTTTCAACCACAATGTTCCAATTGATAATACAAACTAACTAAATAAAATCTGCTCATTCGGTGCTTCCAGCAAATGGGAATTTCTTTAAAAAAAAACCTATTTTTACTAACAAATGAAAAATGCTCACCGACTATAAAACTTAAGTATCAAAACATTAAAAAAAACATACTAAAAACAAATAGACTGATTCGAAGTGATACAAATAAAGATGGGTCCTCATTAAAACCCAAGAACAGTGAAAAATAATAAACTTACAAAAATGAACACTTTAAAGACAAAAAACCACTAGAAATTTGAAGTTACCTGAGTAACCGTTTTGCCATGAGAATGGTGAAGAAGGTCAGAAGGGTAAGTCTTTTCATGGTGAAGCTTATATCGACCTTCTGGTGTCTTAAAATAAGTCTTCAAACACGGCGATTGGGCGTTCGCCGATGAAGAATATGTCGAAATCATACCGTTGGCTGTGTTGTTCATGTCGTGTCTTATCATACACCTGATAACATCTGATCATTACACTCTAGGGTTCCTCCTCCTCCTCGATATTGAATTTTTTTATCTCCTGAAGTCCCAAAAATAAAAAAGAAAAGTCCAACTTCCTCGCTTTCCTTGTTCTTCAATGGCTGTGGGGATCGGAACTTTATTTTGTTTGGGGTAGTTAAGACGGTTTGACTATTTAGGTGTTCAGAAGAAAGTCAACGGAATGGACGGAGGAGATGGAGTGGAGGATTGAAGGGAGTGTTCTGTCAGGCCTTGAAGTTGTAAACGTGCAAATTGATAAACGAAAGGTAAGAGACAATGGGAAGCTGAAGGGAGATGTTTTCTGCTTTTCTATTTATTCTCTTTTGAGTTTGTTTCAAATTGTTTCTCTGTTTTCCATTTTTCTAAAAGAAAATATTACTTTTTTATAAATATATATACGCGTGCGTGCGTGCGAGCGTGAGAGAGAGAGAGAAGGACGGAAAGTAGACAAAACTCTGCAAAGTATATGAAGGGATAAAATGGGAAGAGGCTTTTGTTGATGGTGTGAAATGTGACTCATTCGTGACCGTTTATGATTCGAAGATTAAAGATGTTTTATATTTATAAAATATGTTTTATATTTATACCCTATAATCTATCTATTTATATTTCTTTATTTATAGAATAATAAAAAATATAAATTTTATAAAATATTAATATTAAGATTAAGATTTAATAAATTCATTAAATGATTTCAGTGATAAAAAATATTTTTCTTCTTAAAAGTTATAAATTCAAACAGTTATATCTATAAAATTTATATACTCAACTTATTAATCACCTCTATATATCATTATTGATTTATTGCATACTAATATATATCTTCGATACAAATCGTGTGTTTTTTACAATAGTTTATATAATCGTTTTTCTTTAAGACACATTATTTTTGGATAAATTATACATATAATATTTAAATTTTTATTTTATTTTATTTTTGTGTCTAAACTTTATTTTTTAGATTTCATTTAGTATCCTACTGTTAAAAATTTACGGAAATGTTAGGCAATTTTACTCTGATGTAGCTTTGTAAAAAAAGAGTTGATATAGGGGAGGGGAAAAAATTCAAGTAGGGTGTTTTGAACAGTGTTGTTGGAAGACATCAGAAACAGTTGACGTCTTTGGGAAAATAATTGGAGAACACAATGTCTTCAACCTCTTGTCCGAACCACCATGGGTAGCCTCCCTCCCTTATCCTTCTCTGCTGCAGCCCCTCTCCATTGCACATTTCAAGTTTAAAGCAACGACGAATGTGAATAGACTGAAGACGTTGAGTGCTCTGGTCGTCTTCTTAAAAACGTCATGTATTTTGATCGTCTTCCGATGTTCAATGTAACTTTCACCCACTTTAAGAAAAAAAATTCTCTCATTTCAACCATTTTTTCAAAGCTCCATCTAAATAAATTTATAGATGATTCTAACATGTCACCATAAAGTAATGTTATATTATTATTAAAAATATAAAATAATACTTTAGTAATTATGTTATATATAAACTAAAAGAATAATTCAGATACCCTTATTTTTGTTAACTTCATCATTTTGTAATATCATACGAAAAAATATATTTTATCTTACTTGATCTAATAAGATATAGAAGACGTGGCTCACTTTTTAAAAGTGAGACTAACGCGGTACCTTTTTGTTACGATGGCGTCCAAGTAGTTTAGCCTCTTATTTTCCCCTTGGATTCTCTCTCTTTTCCTTCACATTTTTCCTTGTTTGTTTCCTCATCTTTCCTCTGTTTTAATCCAAAGGAAAAATAATCTTTCTCTCTGTTCGTTCCTCTCAAAAGCCTTGATGTTTTGCAGTATTTCTTCTTCAACAAATCCGCCACCTAAACAAGGAATAATTATTATTTTCTTTCTTTTTCATTTTAATGAAGTTTTGACAATAACCAGAATCTGAACCAAAATAATGTTTCCATTTTCTTACAAGGCCAAACCCATTGTTTCTATTAGTTTCCTCTGTTTTGTCAGCACAATCTTCGCAACAACAGAGTTCGATTTCGGAACACTAACTCTGAGTAGTCTAAAACTCCTCGGCGACGCTCACTTAAACAACGGGAGCGTGAGCCTCACTCGCGAACTCCAAGTACCTTACTCTGGCGCCGGCAGAGTTTTGTATTCGAAACCGGTGAGATTCCGGCACCCCGGAACTCACTCCCCTTGTAGCTTCTCCACTTTCTTCTCCTTCTCCATCAGCAACCTCAACCCTTCCTCCATCGGCGGCGGTTTAGCCTTTGTCATTTCCCCCGATGGTGAATTCGTCGGCGCCGCCGGAGGGTCTTTGGGTCTCCTCGATGAAAAGGGTCAGGGCCTGGGGTTCGTCGCTGTAGAATTCGACACTCTAATGGACGTTGAACTGAAAGACATTAATGGGAACCACGTTGGGTTGGATCTCAACAGTGTGGTTTCTTCTCAAGTCGGTGATTTGGGAGCTTTGGACATTGATCTAAAGAGCGGCGAACTCGTTAATTCGTGGATCGAATACGATGCTTCGTCTAATGCTTTTAAAGTCTCCATTTCGTATTCAAATTTGAAACCCAAAGAACCCATTTTATCATCGACTTTCAATCTCGACCAATATGTTAATGATTTCATGTACGTTGGGTTTTCGGGTTCAACGCAAGGCAGCACTGAGGTTCATAATATACAATGGTGGAGTTTTAGTTCTTCTTTCGAATCAAATACAGGGCCAACATCTTCTCCGCCGCCTCTGCCGCCAACGCCTACTTTAATGAACCCAACGGCGAATACAGCTAATTCACCACCGCCTTCATTGGCTCCGTCAGGTTCCGATTCTATTCCCACCACTGAACGAAAGAGCAGTAAGTCATCTTCTTGCCATAACCAGCTCTGCAAACAAGGTCCAGGGGCGGTGGCCGGAGTGGTAACCGCGGGAGCTTTCTTTTTGGCCTTATTTGCGGCGGCTCTAATCTGGGTTTACTCTAAAAAGTTGGGAAAAAACAGGAAGTCCGAGTCTTTTTCGTCGGAAGTCATCAAAACGCCAAAGGAATTCACTTATAAAGAGCTTAAAGAAGCCACAAGATGCTTCAATGATAACAGAATAATCGGCCACGGCGCCTTTGGGACTGTTTATAAAGGTATTTTATCTGATAATGGCGACATTGTGGCCGTAAAGAGATGCAGCCATAGCACTCAAGGGAATGCCGAGTTTTTGTCTGAATTATCAATAATCGGGACTCTTAGGCATCGAAATCTCGTTAGATTGCAAGGATGGTGCCATGAAAAAGGAGAGATTTTGTTAGTTTACGATTTAATGCCCAATGGAAGTCTCGATAAAGCATTGTATGAATCTCGAACGCCATTGACATGGGCTCATAGGCATAAAATAGTCTTAGGCGTTGCTTCTGCATTGGCCTATTTGCATCAAGAGTGTGACCATCAAGTTATCCATAGAGATGTCAAGACCAGCAACATAATGCTAGATGAAGGGTTCAACGCGAAGCTCAGTGATTTCGGTTTAGCGAGGCAAGTCGAGCACGATAAGTCCCCGGATGCCACAGTCGCCGCTGGCACAATGGGGTATCTGGCACCCGAATATCTCCTGACAGGACGAGCCACCGAGAAAACCGATGTATTCAGCTATGGTGCGGTGGTTCTCGAGGTGGCTAGTGGGAGGCGGCCGATCGAGAGAGACAGTGTGGGCAATAGTTTGAAACGCAATACCAATTTGGGGGAATGGGTTTGGGGTTTGCATCAGGACGGGATATTGTTAAGTGCAGCAGATCCGAGGCTCGAAGGTGAGTTTGAGGAGTGTTCAATGAGAAGGGTTCTAATGGTTGGGTTAGCTTGTTCGCACCCGACCCTACGGCTCGACCCACAATGAGGGGTGTGATCCAGATGCTGGTGGGTGAAGCCGAGGTACCCGTGGTTCCAAGAGCCAAAGCTTCAATGCATTTCACCACTTCTCATCTATTGTTGAGCTTGCAAGACAGTGTATCAGAGTGCAATGGCATGGTTGCCATCTCTAGTTCCTCATCGGAAAACAGCTACATTGGCCCTGAACTTGTGTAAATCAAAGAGCAGAGATTCCACAATCTTTTTCCATCGACTCGTATATATAATCATTCATTGTTTATTATGATGTATGTTCTATAAATAACAATTCGAAATTTGATGTTTATAATTTTTCCCCGAAGGTTTAATGATTGTGCATTGATAGGGTTAGAGGATGCTTCAAAGGTTGGGGACAAAGAAAACGTTAGGTAGGAGTCAATTCCTAGCTATCGTAGAATATAGGAATCTTAATTTTTCCTTTATGGAAGGAAGGATAGTTGCTTTCAGAAGCAATCCTCCATTGTCCAAAGCCGACACTAGAGCTTTGAGTGGAGGATTGGTGAAGCATGGTTTGAATTGAATACAATGGGATATTTATTGGAACTTCAATTCCATGCTACAACACTTTAAATGAAGTTTGCCAAGCTTCAAATAAAAAATAAATTAATCAGATCAAGGGTGTTACACTTTTATTACATATAAAATTTGACAAAAAAATGAAATTTTGATATTGGATAAAGTACCAAAAAAATACTAAAAGATCTACTTTTTAGTTTTGTTGTAAGCTTTTGTAATAAGAAAATTGATTAGGGGATTGCATGGTTGGTTGGTTGGTTGGTTGAGAGAAAGAAGGTGTGAAATAAAGTTAATTAATATATAACTTGTTGGATTTTCAATGAATCTTTCATAGACCTTTGTCTCTTTTTGTATCTTTTTTCAAAAGCATTAAAATTTTACTGTAGAAAGTGGGATTAAACTTGCCTTTCCTATTAGGATAACGCACATTACTTATCCTTTAACATAAAATATTCAACTATATAACATGATTATATTTAATATTTATATTTAAATATATTTAAATTATTCTTTTAAAAAGTAATGAATTTGACGTGATCTTGATGTTAAAGGAATTGTTGTTATTATTTGAGGTCTCGAGTTCAAGCAACATGAATATTAAGCATGTGAGCTTTTAATATTAAATGTTTGAGAAATATCTTTGAACAAATAATATATTATATTTAACTCAAAATAATAAAAAAATATTAAATTTGAATAACATAACCCTTAAACTCACATAAATATGATCATTTTTATATATTCTTCCTAAGATACGTGTGTTTGCTTGACGGGTTGCCCGAATGCATTACCTGTGGGTAGTCGGCTTAAAAGTGTTGGTTTTGGTGATGGAATTTGTCATAAGTGTTCTAACGGGGAGGAGACGATTATACATGTCATGAGGGACTGTCCTGTAACTTTGGAGACTTTATGTCTAGCAGATCTGCCTCCTTTTATATTTTTGTGTACTATGGTTAGTCCTTTATTATGGATGGAGGAAGTATTATCTATTCTAGGAATTGATGCTTTTGCTGGTTTTTTGATAATTCTGTAGAATGTCTGGAATAATCGAAACTCCTTTGTTCATTCTGACAGGTTACAATCGGCATGGCTCTTGGTGACGAATGCAAAGATACTACACCAGGACTATTTAAGGGCTATTAGTATGGGGATGAATAAACAACGGTCTACAAATATTGTTATACGATGGACTCCACCTTTGGAGGGAGTTATCAAAGTGAATGTTGATGGTCCCTTTGTTGCGGAGCGCCGACTGTCTGCAATTGGAGTTGTTGCTCGTGATAAGTGCGGACATGTTTGTGGTGGTTTGGCCCAATCTTCTGTTGGATGTTTTGAGGCGGGTTTTGCGGAACTATCTGCTTTACTCGCTGGTTTAGAATGACTTGTGATATGAGATGTCTGATGTTCAGTTTGAAACTGATTCCTTGATGCTTGTCCATAAGATTACACGAACTTCTACAGATATTTCCACCCTCGGGATGTATGTTCAAGAGGCTCGTACTATTTTTCAGGATCATCCTCGTTTTTGTATCTTGTATACTCCTAGAGAGTGTAATCAGGTTGCTCATGCATTAGCCAATTGGGCTTTAAATTCGGGCGGTTCTTTGTTTTTTGAGTCGGTTTGTCCCGACATCATTATTCAGAATGTTAAAAACGATGTCATTGATTTTTTATTAATATAATTTGGACACTCTTTTCCCCTTACTAGGTTTATAAGGGTTTTTAATGAGGCTCATGGGTTTCATTCAAAAAAAATATTGTTGGTTTCATGCATGTGCCTGGCAGATTATCGGATTTTGCTTTGTTTTGAGGCCTTTTTTAATTTGCCGACCATTTGTTTTGTAAGGGCATTTCCAATGCTTCTCCACAATTGGAGAATATCTCTACTGTGGAGAAAAAATCCCATCCAACCCATCGTCAGAATCATCGCTACAGTAGAGAAGCGCTACAGTTCGTGTCACATTTGGCGTAGTACTGTAGCATGCGCTACAATTTTATTTTTTTAATTCAAATAGATTAAATTAAAAGATAGGTAAAAATACATTAAAATTAGATATATAAACATACTAATTTTTTTGTAATTTTTCTGATTTTTTTAATTCAAGTAGATTAATTTACAAGATAGATAAAAATACATTGAAATTAGATAAATAAACATACTATTTTTTTTTGTGATTTTTCTGATATTTTGTAATTTTCTGATTTTTTTTAATTCAAATAAATTAAATTGTAAGATAAAAATATATAATTATGTAACTTATATTTTTCGCATTATTATTATGAATTGTAATTTTTTTATTTATTTGTATTTTCGTAAAATTATTTATGAATGTTTTATTTATAATTTTTATCTTGATATTTATTAAAAATGTATATGTTTTATTTTATATTTGTAAAATTAATATTATAATAATTAAATATTATGAATAAAGTAGAGTTGATGGTAATATAGATATAACACTGAAGATAAATTATTATTTTATTTTTAGAGTAGAAATAGAGATAATGTAGAATAGAAGACTGAGATGAGAATTGTAGTTTGAAAATAATGAAATACAACCTTTTTCCATGTGAACTCAATGGTTGGTCTCTAATATTGCGAATAAATAATTTTTGCAGGGTGAAGAGTGTCGAATGGAGAAGTTTTTCACAAGTCGCAATGACGCGATGGATCATAATCATTAAATTAAAGGAAAAAGTATGGAATGAAAGGGAATCAACAACATCAAGAACTCAATCCATTACATAATTTCAGTTTATTTATTTATAATTGGTTTCGATTTTAGAAAAACAGTGTCGGTTTTGGATTTTTCCTACTACTTTTACAGCAAGCAGCGTCAGACTGTGTTTATATTGACATTGACAACAGTTTTGTTGGTTCCGATCCCTGTTTGATTATTACAATTTGTAACAATGTTCAACTCTATGTTTCAACTTTCAATGTCCCCACATTTTGGGTAATTGATGAGCTCTAAGTTGTATAAATTGCAATATATATGTGTGTGTGTTCACACCAGATTTCAGTGTTTATTTTATATGGTGGAGAATGATGTCATTTGGTGTAATGTAGTCCCCATTCATATAGGTTAAATGGCATCGTGGATTAGCATTATGGTAAAGAAATGGGCTTTAAACTTATATTCAAAGACCAATCCTCAGTTGGATCAAAATTTTGGGTTTTAAGTTTTCATGGACAGTTGCATTAAACGCCTAAATAATGGAACACTCCAAACACCCTTTCTTAGTGAGGATTGGACGAATCCAAGTTGGTTTAGAGTTGGGTCAATTCAGGTTGTTAATTGTTTTAAAATTTGAGTTATTTGAAAATATATGATATAATTAATCCCTATACTAAATATCTATGCTATTTGAATTTGAATATCTTAATATGGATTCAAAATGGATCCTGCACAACTATGGGTTTTTCCAAAGTTATTATATATTTCATAAAGCTTTTAGAGAATCTTCTCTTTATTCCTATATATATATATAAACGTACAAAGTATGCAATAAATTATTCGTGAATAATTTATGTATTGTTTCTTTATTAGGTAAAATAAATATGAATAAAAAATTATGTCTATTTATTAAAGAATGTAGTTAAATAAAGATGTATTTGTATTTTCATTTATAAACTTGTTTATTAGTTATTTTATTAACTCGTTTATTTAAATTGTTATCTTCTCTGTAAAAAATATTTTAATAATATATGCGAATAGCACTGATAGTGTTATTGTGATCGAGGGCGTGCTACGAGATGATCATGGTTGATGGCTCTATGATTTTCTAGAAGCCTTGATTTTTATTGTCACATAATCCTTCCCATTCAAATAAAATAGTAAATATGTTAATTTATTGTCTGCTCGTTTATTATTTATGAACATACTGTTTAACTAAATAGTTATAAATATATTCATTAAATTTTTTGTGTAATATATATAAATATGTTCGTTTAGTGTTTTTGAGTATATTAAATGAATTTGATCGTGAACACTAAGCCTTTATTTGGTTAAATGAAAAAATATGAAGAAAGAGACTGAAAAGAAAATTATAATAGTTCATAAAATAATTGTGATAAGTAAATTAGATCAATTTTTATGGGTTTTTTCATTAAACAAATTAACTGATGATTTTTATATTCAGTAACTTAATTCACTAGAATGGTTTGCAATTATGGGGACTTGACACAAATTATATTATTCTTTATAATGCATCAATTAATTCTAAATCACGTGTACAATTAAATTTGTTTTCATTGTCACTGATTTAAGATGTATGCCGACAGATTTTCAAATGTCGGTAATGAGATAAATGAAATGAACTACATGCCTTTCCTTTGATTTTAGACCAAAAGCAAATAATAATAATAATAATAATAATAGTAGTAGGAAGAACTCAAAGCTTGAAAGAGATGAGGATACAGCAACTATATATAGTCACATTTAATTAATTACTCAAACTTTATATGTGTCTAAAACCTTAAATTAACAAATATTTCTCAAATCTCACATAAAATCTCCACAACTATAAGAAAAAACACCTAACAAAATAGTTACAAATTCGTATAAAAATTTAACATTCAAAGAAGCTTCCCAAAAACCTTCTTATTTTTTCCAATTCATCAACCATGAATTTTTTTAGCCTGCAAAAGAAAAAAAAGTTTATATTTTAGGAATCTAAAACAGGATAAGCAAAGCTACGATTGAAGATGAAATTTGTTGAGTCAATCATATTATGCAAACTTACATTTCTCCCTTTGTTACCAATACCACTCTTTAACCCCTTTGAGGATTTGTGGGGTGGCAAAGTATCGGTTTTCCGATGGTGATGAGAATTATCCGGCGGAGGAGTTGCAGAGTGTGTCTCCGGACCTCTATAATCAATCTCGTAAACTTCGTTATCCGAAACACCAAACCTTCCTTTAATATGAAAAATAAATGAATTAATTGAGAATTTTAAAACAAAAAGAGAATAAAAGTAAAACTAGAAACTTTCCCTACAAACCTGCTGAAAAACTAGACATGGAAAGCTGGAGAAGCAGCAGCAAAATAATGGAGATGGGTCTCCATTTGATGACAATTGGCTCCATGAAAATTGGTAGCTTTTGAAGCACCAAAAATTAGCTTTTATTTGAGAAGATGCTCGATAGAAGGGAATATAGGACAGTTATTTATATTATCGTATTTATATAAAATTTCATTATTTTTACGAATTTAAATATTAAAAGCATCACATCTACACAGCAATAAGTTGTGAAGGATGGATGTAGATGTGTTGGGTTAGGACATTTATGAGACATACCTAAACCATTTTATTTAGATTTTGAATTTAATTTTTTTAATTCTTTATTCTTTATTTTTACTTAAATGATTCTTTTGTAAGAATTTAATTACATAAATAATGACCATGGGTGGGACAACCCCATGTGTGTATTATTATTGAAATGTCCCAATGAGAGACACGACATGCCATTGATCTCGTGTTGGCTGGATTTCACATTCTTCAAACCTAACCTTCCTGTTTTTGTTTCCTCTGCTAAATTATATTTTTACTATAATTTCAGTTAAATTTTATAATGAATTTTAAAATAATATTTGATTGTTTGACAAAATAAAAATTAGAATCACCAAAATTTTTAAATATGAATTTGAAACCGAGGTGAAATTTGTGAAATCCCTCGATTTTTTTTATTAAAATTATAATCATGAAACTCATTTCAAAATGTAATTTGTATTTTTTTCATACTATTATATATATAATATTCTTTTATAAATTTAGTGACATTCATATTGCATTTTTCATTTATGTTTAGTATTTCTATTCTTATATTATGATTAATTTATCAAAATATAATACTGAAATTTCATTCCTAAAAATATTTTCTTTTAATATTATAATTTTTATACTATAATTATTTCATAAAACTCTTAAGATATTATAATTTAATATATTTCCTTAGGTTCTTTTAGTTATATATTAGCATTTGCTCATGGAGAAAAATATTTATCGTTTACTCTATTTAACACTGATCGATTTTATAGAATTATTTTTAAATCAAATCAATTTCGATTGATTTATAATAAAAATTGCGGTTTGTGAAAGTTTAGGTAACGCTTGACTTTATCAAACATTTATTTTATTATATATATATATATATTATTTAAAATTTATATATTTTAGATAAAAATATTTTATTTAATAAATATAAAATTAAAATTATTAAAAAATTCTAAAAAAATAAAGGAAGAAACTGTAAGTGTGATGAGGAGATGATTGGTTTCAAAGAAAATATGATTGGGCCCAAACTTTTCCAAGCATTAAATGGATGGATAGCTATGCTTTATATATTTATGAACAGCCAAAATATTATCGATCGACATAGCTGTTCATTTCCAATTATTTTATATAGTAAAATAAGATTTGATACTCAAGTTTATTAATTGAATTTTAATTTTTGATACTTAAGTTAGTGATTTGATCATTTTAAATTTGAGTTATCTTAAATCAAATAGGATAGATTCGAATTATCATGATGAAATAAAACGAATTTACATTGAACTTAATAAAAAATGACATTTGACTCGGATGAAAAAGGGAATATGGTTGTACATGGTTGTGTCGGTTGAAGATAAGATGTTGATATGATTTTCCTAGAATGAATGCGGTCGGGTCGCCATGTCAAACAGCTAGCACCATGGCTGGATCTTGATGGCAAATGTATGCTTACTATGATGTAATAGTTACCTGCACGCTTTAAAGACGTTGGATCCTGTTCTCCTATGCCAAATCTTTCTGTTACAAACTCCAAATTTTATAAGAATTAAAATCCAAAATATGTAATTTCACTATTAAAAATAAGAATTGAAGTTATATAAGTATTTTACCGTGATAGATAAACATGTAGATAAACAGACAGTTCAAATTTGGTCAAAATAGACTCGAAGGGAAGGATGAACTAAATAAACAAAAAATCATGTAAAATTAAGGTGACTAAATTAAAAAGAAAGGGAAATTTGTTGTCAAAGGGAGGAATTAAAATTATATATGTATTCTACTGTTGTTTTAAGGACATGTTGGTTCAAACTTAGTCAAAAATAAACTTAAAATAGATGAGGAATTGAATAAACATGGAAATCAATGATCGAATCGCAAAACGGTCAAATAACTTGAATAGACCAAAATGACGTCGTTTTAATTTTCAATTTTTCAAACTTTACAAATTCAAACACGACTCAAAATCTGAACTCAAAGTTCGAGTTGACTCAAATAACTAAAACAACATGAATAACTAAAAACTCAAAATAAAAATTAGTTCTTTCAAATATAATCAAGTTTTATTCAGCCTAATAGGCTCTTAAGATTTAACTTACATCTCCTGTACAATCAGATTGTAGATTAAATCCTTAGTTCAACAACAAAACCATGGAAACACCAATGAAACATAGAAGAAATAAACTCCAAATTGGCAGAGTCAACAGCAAAACATTGTAAATCTTTCATTAGATGCAAGTACCTTTTTTACTAATTATAATCAAAAGTGTAGTCAAATTTAAAGATGTAAATGACATATGTATTATATGTTCTGTAATGGTGTTTCTTTCATTGTGGTATGACAGCAAATAGAAACAACAGCATGTTCTTAACTAACAAAAAAACACACACACACACACAGCAACCTTGAACGCCAATGGTCCCATTTGCCTTCTCATTGAATCATCCATAGGCATAGAAGTTGGAGCTTGAAACCCTGGTGTGAAGATGCTTACCTGCAAAATGAAGGAACACTGTACAGACAAAAGATACAAGTTACGGTAACACCGAATAGAATCAACTGACATCAATATTCAATGGTCAAACTATGCCGTCAGTTTCGGTACTTGCAAGAAGTTCAAGATGACAAGATTCAGTACATGCTCAAAGATGACCCGAATTGAACGTCCAAACTACTAGAACCAAGCCAACTATACAAGCCATGTTGCTACTATACACAATGCCATGTTTCTATATTAAATTTGAATCTGAAATTCTTATCAGAACCAAAGTCCATTTTCCAGGTTACAGTGTTTTACAATTAACTCAAAATATAGAAAAAACTTCCACCTTTACTATGTGGTACTAATCGATTTATAGAACCGACTGAAACCATTCGCAAGATTTGTTCTGTTTCATAATCATGATAAGCTTAAGCAGTCACAATACGTTTAATCGTTCCACATTCATCTAGTTACTCCGTTGTTCTAAAGATCACACTTGTAAAGTTAAACATATCATAGGCATCTTGAACATACAAGAGATCCTAAAAGCTTCCTTCAAAAGCACCATAGTTTTATTAGATAAAAAAATTATCCCACATGGTCAAAACAATAATGTAACTGCTTCAAAACTAATTATTCACTGATAATTGAAAGCTGAAAAAGCAATTTTGAAGTAAAAGGCCTCCCTTTTAATGAAGACCAATACTTGGTGGTCGGTACCCAGGTTCAAAGTTCAAAGAACATTTGTTGGATTACCATTCATTCAAAATAAGAATCATCATTCATTAAGGCTTTTGCTTGGTAAAGTGGAAAGAATGCTAAGATAAAAAATTGAAAGAGGGGAAATATTTGAAAGGAAAAGACGATTTATGTTTGATAGAGTGGAAAAACGAAAGGAAGGAAGATGAAAACTTAAAAAAATGCATAATCGAGTAAAATGCACATTTAACTTCAATATTTTGTGTGTTAACTGAGGGTGTCTCCAAACCACATTGGACTTGAAAGTAGAAAACTAATCCCCGAGGGTTGAAGGTAAAGCAATCCCAACAAGTGCACTTCCGAGGATTGGAACTGTTTCCTCATCCTTATGGGGGTTAAGGCTGTTACCACATCAACAAGCAGCTTACTGGTTCTTTCCTCTTATCGTTACAACTTAGAATGAAATGCTTTTATGCATTAAGACGAAAAATTGTCATCGTTCTATTTTCTTTCCTCTCCCTTTCCCTTCATACCAAACACATTTAGAGTTTATTTTCTTTCCAAGTTTTTACTCTCATCTTTCCATCCCTTCCACTTTTTCACTCAACCAAACACACCCTAATAGATAATGACTTAATGAGAAATGCACTTCAAAGGATGGAGCAGGATCAGAGATAAAATCTACAGATCTATTATGAAATGGTTTGGTTTTCACTACAAGAAGTTTCCAACAATAACAAAAGTGGGGTTTTTAACTCCAATTTTCTATTATTTTGAAGAAGGGAATATATTCTAAATGACACAAAGGAATAAATCACTTTTCCATCCGGGGGCAAAAAAAAGTGCTTAATCCATGATTCGAAATTCGAAATCCAACATCTACGAGACTCTGACACATCCCCTATCTATTTGTACCAAATAAAAAAAGGTGCTTGATCCATGAACCCTATGGCACTTCATACAACCAACCTTAGAATGTGGCATCTAACAAATTCAGAATTCCAACCCCAACATATGTAGTATATTAGTACCAAAAGGAAAAAGTGTTTGATCTAAAAGATTCAAGGAAAACTTCCACATATAGAAAAAGAGCCACACTTGCACTATTTAATGGGGAAAAATATCAAATAAAAAGCTTGAACATAAAACTGAAGAGAATGAAAAAAAAAATTGTTCCATATCCAATGTGTTGCTATTCATTCAGCTGCTCTTGGTAGCCATGGCTTTTCTGGCAGCCATATTTTTCCTAGCAGCCCTTGCATTATCATACTCAAACTTCAACACATTTGATATATGAGAAGTATCCTTGGCACAAAAGAACCTCCCAAAGGGACTCTCTTCAATCAAAGGGAAATAACAAAAGAGCTTGGAATTCACCAGCCAAAACCAAACCCCACCGAGAAAAATCCCCATTGAAGCTCCGGCAAAGACCTGGGCCACCGTGTGGTAACCCAAATAAACCCTAGAATACATGGTCAAAACAGCCAAAGACCATGGCAAAAACAAAGCGGCCCACTTGGTTCTAACATTCCAAATCCCACCAATCCCTTTACAAGTTAAGAGGGTGAAGTAAATGGTGAAAAAGAACATGTATTGCGAGTGGCTGGAAGGCCACCAGCCGTGAGAATCACACATTTCTAAAAGAGCACAGGTTTCGGGCCGGGCTTGTTGAACGGATTTTTTTATGAGTGCGTTGATGAACTGAGATATTACTA